AAGAGAGTGTCGTAGGGTTAGGGAAGAGAACAGCAGTGACGGATTACCGTTAGAGAGGTCACTAGGGACAGCAGGCGAAAACCAGTGTTTATTTCTGCTGCCTCAGGACTTGTGAACACTGTGATGTGTTGGTAATGGGAACTCTGGATAGCTCCAGTATGTAAGCTGGTGCAGGCAGAAAAGTTAACAGCTTAGTTTGAGTCCTGTTTGTGATCTAGCCTGCTTTTGGTATCTGCAAGGAAGTGAGATGGGAAGAAAAGTCCAGAACCTAACGGTCCTTAATAAAACTGGCATTTCTGAGGGGAGTCCTTTGGGAGTGCAGGCTGAGGAAATACAACAAGGGGCGAGATAAAGGTAATTCTGTGTGTAAAAGGTAATTCTGTGAGTCATGGGAGTAGTGAATTCCTTTGGATTTGTCTTCTGGTCAGATCCTCTGATGTGTAATAAGCTGGATATTCTCACTGAAGCGTTTTCTGCATTCATACCAGCTTTTCTAGATGAATTTTTGGTGCCAGGTAAGGTTTGGCTTGCATTGCAATCTCTGCTCTAGTGGTAGCCACAGATTTGAGACAGTCACAGATTGTCATGGAATTCGATGAAATTTTAGTGTCTTTGAGATGTGGTTACATTTGTGATGTATGTGATTGAAATTGGTCAGTTGGGTTAGAAAGCTATAGGGGATGGACAGATGCAGGCAGACACGCATACATGTAGGCAAAAGGCATGTTTGCATTCTTAGGGAACTAAACTAAACAAAAAGGGGAAAGTTACTGAGGAAGAAAGTAGCATCTTAAGTATATTAATGTAGAATTTTCCTGCTAACTTTCATGGAGTCTCCATACATTTCTAGACTGCCAGGTTTTGAAGGGCTCAGGAGAAAACTACATGGAGCAAAACGCTGTTTTTGTTTGACACTGGCAGGTTAGTTGACTGTTTACAAGACTTCGGGCCAGCAGACTGGCAGCTGGCATGTTTGATATGCAAAACCCTGTGGAACTACAGTGACAACATCACAAGCGCGGCCTCAAGCTTCGGAGAATACACCGACACGTTGCTGGTGCTGCTCACATCCCTCTTAGGTGAGATTCAGAGTCTTGGTCTCTTTTCAGTAATAAAAGAAACAGAAGGAGCCAAATCAAAGCAGAATTAGCTTGGGTGGGAAGTCTGTCATGCAGCTTTAAGTGGTTGGCCGGTAGAGACTACCCAGCAGCACAGTGGTCTGTTGCCATTCGGCGCATTCCCTCGGATCTTACAGATTGCCAAGGTGGAGCTGGCCGCTGTCCCTCCCCGCTCCGGTTTGCCTCGTTAGCATGCTGCTAGTGCTTTTCACCAGCTGCCTTTTTGCCTGCTTGAGCCAACTGTCCCGTAGACCTCCCGTGCAAAGCAAGCTTCTCGCTGGATGTGGGCCCTTCTGGCCTCACAGCTCACCGCAGGCGTCGACAGGAGCCGGGGCTCAGCTGGGCCGCACCTGGAGCCCGCACGGCGCGCACCGGGCAGGCTGGGGAACGCGGCTTTCCCCCTCGGCCGGGGGGCTGCGCGGCGCAACGGGCTGTGAGCTGGCTGCTTGCGACAGGAGCCCCTTGGCCGCCCTTCTGTTCTCATCATGATGTCCTCATGGGCAAGGACAATGTCCTGACAGTTTCTCATCTGCTTCTGAAAGCTAGGGAGGGTGTGCTCCTCCCCAAGTACAGGCTGGAAGGTGCCGACAAGTGAATGTTGAGATCCTGATTCACTTGCCCAGTTGGATCTTTTCATCTGCACATTTATATTTGCTTCAAATATAAATGCAGACTTTTAACTGCTATGTAGTAGTCCTCTAGTTGCTGTATGTGACTTTCCTCTTTTATTTTATGACCACTGCTTTGGTTATGATTTTACTTTGGGTAGCTCATTTGCAATTATCTTTTTTAAAAAAAAATCTTTAAAATGTAAGTGAAATTGAAGCAAACCATGACTAATTTTCATTTGGTTTTAATTGGAAATTTACTAAAGATGTATGCGTGCTGTGGAGAAGGCTGCATGTTAGTCAGATCCAGACAGAAAGTAAGATCTCCCTGGTCTCTTTTGTTTTTAGACAATCAGGAAAGTGTGTGGATTTATGAGGATTTTTTTCCCGGTTACAGCAGAATTACTGTTACTCATTGTTGTAATCATTCCTTGCATTACATTCCTTGCTATGATAGAGCATATCTTAATGTGAGCAGTAACTCCATCTATTTATTTGAAAATACTCAGCGTTTCAAGATCATTAGCGCACTTTCGAACATTCTGCAACAGAACTGCAAACTTTACAGCCACGATCATGCTTTAATTTTCTGGCATGCAGCAAGGAATATATGTCTTTGTTTTGGAAGAGGCTTACTTATTTTTTCCTCTGCATTTAACACTGCTTATTCCAGCAATTAATTTGACTGCAGAGTCCAGGCTCTGTAGTAATTGGAACTCTCATTTACCAGTACAGCTTTTGTGAACTGGAAGTTCGTGTACAACTGCAGTTGCAGTTACAATTGCAATAGCAATGCGACTGTAATGACAATTCATTAAAAATAGGTCAATTAAGTCAGAAGGCTGGTCTGTCTTCACACTGTAGTCAGAAGAGTAGCTGTAGAAAAAGCGCATCTCATTCATTGGATCTGGTTCCTTTGTGTGTTAGGAGCCAACAAATTTTAGTAAGAGCAGCTGGTTAATGTTGTCCTACACCCTCCTCCTCCCATTGTATCCAGTAACAGCCTTGAACTGTCATTGCTCTGATTCTATCGTTCAGGAAGCAGGAGGCAACTGCTGGCAAGTCAGTGGACTGGACTTGAGCATCAGCACACCCTCAGGAAGCGGAAAAAGTGGAGCATGTCACAGCAGACACCTCGCTTCACCTGCTGTGCTTGGCCTTCTCCCCTTTATTTTTCTTTCCCCTACCTGGCACAAGATGACAAAAGAGGTGAGGGAGCCAAAAGGGAGTGGAAATAGCTGGAAAAGATGTTGGGCCCGAGAAAGTCTGGACAAAAGGTGCCACTTGTTTTTCTTTCTCCCTGCCTGACCTCGGCAGCCTGAGACGCAGTGGCGCTGCTTTCCAGCACCACTGGCATCTGCCTTCTTTCAGCTGCTCTTCAGTTTCAGGTCACTTTACTGGCTCAGAGCTTCTGGAGGCTGGTGTTTCCAGGCCCCTGGCAGCAGCTTTGCCTTGCCCCGGTCCCTCAAGGAGCAGCAGTGGAGACGGGCCTCTGTCTTGAGAACATTCTTCTGTTTGGTCATTCAGCGAAATCTCCTTTCTCCCTCTCTTTTTCCAGACTTCTGCTCACATTTACCTCCACTGTTGATTTGAGGTTATTTTGGAATATCAGTACATGTGAACTCTTTCACGGCAGGCTACTAGCTTCCAGGGCTCCAGGCCCCAGTCTTGCCAGAGTTACAGGGGTGGGCAGCCCTTGCAGACTGGCGTCTGTACCCTAGTTTTCAGCTTCCCCCATAGCATGCAGACCCAGCGTGCTTGTCTTGTTCCTGGGCTGGCAGCCAGGCCGTATGCTGTTTGGCCAGTACCCAATTGTGCTAGTTTTGAGGAGGGTCGTGGGAAAATTAATTATCTGAGGACGCACAGCTTGCATGTGGGACGCTGATCCTCGCTGATCCCCAGTGTTACTCACGGTCTGCTTTGGGAAATTTACTGGTTTGGTTCAGCACTTCAGCTTTTGAACTGGTTCTGACCCTTGTTCTTGTAGGCTGGAATTCCCGACCTCAGTGATTCCATAAACATTCAATCAACTTCTGTGGGGCACAGCTGTCTAATAAAAGGGAGAAATGTCTTGTTCTGTGTTAGAAGATAGTTCATTTGGGTAGAATAATGATTTTGGAATTAGGCAAAGCAGTTCTCCCTGAAAACAAAAACCATAATCCCTTCCCTTACTCTTCAGGGTCTCTCACTTCTGTGCTGCTGCGATTCATTTTAGGTATGTTGGGCTACTGTGCCATTGGTAGGGCAGGAGCTAAGGGGCACAAGTTGCAATAAGAAAAATTCCAATTAAATATTAGGAAAAGAAGTTTCTGCCACGGCAGGGTTCAAGCACTGGCACAGGCTGCCCAGAAAGGCTGCGCATCTCCATCCTCGGAGATGTTCAGTACTCGACATCTACGGTGGCTCTGCTCCAGGGGTCCTGTCCAACTAAATTACCCTGTGGTACCATCAAATACAGATGTGATGTCTGAGGCTGGATTTTACCTCTGATTACAGGGTGTCTTCCTGCAGAGATATGACATGTCTTCCTTCTTGAAAGAATGAGGGTTTTTTTCTCTTTATTTTATTACAGAAAGCTTCTAAATGGCATCTTCTCTTTATGCAGAACCCCTTTTGGCATCTACCTCACAATCGGCATCTCTTCAATTTTGGTCGTTCAGAAACACTGTAGCGGCACAGAAGTCAAGCATTGCTCGCAGTTACCGGTAACTTCCGATGGCACGGAGCCCATCTCCACGCAAAAGTAACCTCGTCTCCTCCTTTACAGCTGTTGCAGCCCAGGCCAAATGCCCTGCACAGGCACCCTGGCGTTCTTTTAAAGGGGACTAGTTGCTGCTTGGGCATCTTTTCTGCACAAAGTTGGACTAAAAATGCAGGTGACTGAAGTTTCTCTTCAGCTCCAGCTTGTCTTCCAGCTCTTCAGCTTTTCTTTTCCCTGCTGTGGATGTGCAGTAAGCTCCCTCGCAGAGTTACTTATTTAACAGATTGTGAATCTGGTGCTCTGTCACAGTCAGGACAGAGGGGAGTCACGCTGCCCACTGGGTGCAGGATTGTATCTTCATTTTAGGTCCGTTTCTGGCCTAAAGGCTGTCAAATATCCTTCTGTTAAACTGCATGAAAACATTTGTTCAGCATTATCCATTGTGTTTGTAGATTCCTGTCTCAGGAGCATGCTTCTGGTTGCAGATTGATTTATTCTTCTGTAAGGGTTTGTTTCTTTGCCACATCCAATGCCAGGCAAAATGGCACATCACAGAGTCATGACTTCCTTTCATTCCTAACATTGCTTGTCTCTATTAAGAGTGTCCTATTATCTTATTCATGAAGTTTGTGAGGAAGGGAGGGCATCAGTAATACAGTAACTAGTGTGGTTCAAGTTCTTTAAGTATGATAGCAGGTGTAGTTTGAAAGAGTCTTCATGAACCAGATTAGCAGAGCAATTTGTGACAGGATAAACATAGTTGTAGTTAGATGAATTGATTACTTACATTAGCAAAATTGCTGTGGGTGATGTTAAAACCCAAGTAGTTTCCAGGATGACAGTCACAGTAAGAGCTTGATCTTGGAGACACAGCTTAGCTACGCCCGTGAGGTGTGCGAATAAAAGAACCTGTTTTTTTTACTGTTTAAATACCCTTTTTACTGTTTCACTGGCCGTATCACCCTTTATTTTCAATGAAATCTAAGTCCCTCAGACAGTGATGCTTAGTTTGCCTTAAATATAGAGCTGCTTTTAAGCCATCGACATACACAACTGGTAAGTTGTATGTGCTGCGGTCAGAAAATACGTAGCTGGGTGTATTTTTATTCAGAACTGATATTTTCTTTGGTTACAGATGAAGAGCTAGTGTCGGATTACAGCCTCGACAGAGATTTAAGGGACTACCACAAACTATATCGGGAAACAGAGTTCAAACCTGTGGCAGAAAAACTTCTTGACAGAATTCAAAGTCATCACTCCTTTCTTCCAACTGTGACTGTGACTCCATTTTAATCAGTCTGGTTTGGGTTGGTATTTTTTGTGGTGTAGCTTGTACAGCTTTATATTCCTAACATACCTGTACACTGCCATGAGCACGTTGGAGAGCTTGGCAATTTAAGTTTTAAAAAGTCAGTAAAGCCTGACATTTATATACTGGATACTGTCTTTTGAGAAGTGTCTATTAAATTTTTGCATGTGTAATTACTTTTTACAAAATATTTGAGCTGGTCAAGCAGCTGTGCAGTGTGATTTGTCTATTAATTGCATAGTTTCTTGGCTGGGAAAATGAAACAAAACTACATGCTGAACTAGTAATTTTTAAAAGGTGAATTACCACCCGGTACCTGGGCCTCTGGGGTACCAAAAATGCTGTGCGCTCTAAAAGAACGTTACAGCACGGGAGCCACATCCTACCTACAGACTTTGACACGCTTTAACTTTATATGAGTTTCTGTGACAGAGTAACCCAGATGCGTTGGGGCGTTCTGCTGTGTTCACTCGACAGACTGGATGCTGCCAATGGCCCGGGGAAAGTCGCTCCCCTTGCCTTTGGAGGTGCCCCCTTCTTTACCCGATACTGTGCGGCTCGGGTATCCCAGCTCCTGCCTTGGTGCTTGTGGGATGTAGGTCCAGCTGTGCTGGAAAGAGGCTTTTCTGAGTTGGGACTTCACACCTTAAGGCAAAACACCCATATCCCTGAGGTAACAGAAGATTTTAGCTAGTCTGGCGTGTTCTTCTTTCAGTTGTTCCCGCATTCCCAGGAGCCACCTGTGTGCCTGTACTTCTCAGGCCGTCTTGGCCAGCCATCTCCCCTGGGCTCCTGTCTCCATCCACAGGGCACGAAAAGGCTCTACATCCTTCTCGTTCCTTCTGACTGCTGCCGGTTTGCTTATTGCTCAGTTTTCATCCTTTCAGCGTGTAGAAGTCCCTGCTTGTAGCCCATGGATTGGCTCAGCAAGTGCATCTCTGGCCTCAGGCGTTAACAGCCCGGTTGGCTACAGAAAGCTTTACAGACCTGACCCATTTGTCTCTTTTCTGACTTCAGATTACTCAGAATAAACCGCTGTGCAGGGGCTGCCGGGCTCCTGGCTCTGATCCTGAGGGTCAGCAGCCCCGTGCTGTGCTGTGTGCGCCAGGAGAGCAAGTCTGCAGCCTGGCAGTCCCTGCGGAATGGCTGGAGGAATTCGTTTTTCTGAGGCAGCGATTCGGAGCTCCCTCAGCAGCACCGCTGCACCTTTGGCAGTGCCCGGACCTCTGCTTCCAGCTGAGGAGATGAAGTGAGGAGGCTGGGAAGTTGAGCAGTAGCAGAAGGGCAGGGAAATTTTTTCCTAGTCTAGGTCCCTGCTTCTACATTCTTGGGGATTTTGTTACTGGGGATGGGGCAGGGGAGGGGAGATTTCATGGTCCAGATTTTGGGAGCAGTGAGGAGGAAACTTCAGTGAAGGCGATGAAATTTGCAACGTTCCTTTTGTCCCAGCAGCTGCGGTATTTCTTGTGGCCAGCACGGCTCAGCCCCGCAGCGCATCGCTTAGGGAGCGCGAGTGGCAGCCTGCATCGCTGCGACCCACAGGAGAGAACTGCTCAGCAGTTCAGTATGGTTTGGCTCCAAGGGCCGCTCTGCTGAGCTCAAAAAGGTCTCAATTGTCGTTCCTCCTTTTGCCATTTTAATTTTAGCTGAAGTTGAGGGGGAAGATGAATGGCTTCAATGCCTCATTTGTTTCTTGGAAAAAAGAAAGGATTTGCTTTCTGGGGGCATTAAAGAAAGGCTGACGGGTAAGTACTCCCCTGTGGGGAGGGAGCTAGGGGCGTTTGTTCTTGGCAGTGGCCTCCAGGCAGAAGGCAGGCCAGCACCAGGCTGTGCCGTGCAGGGTGGGGATGCAGCGGAGAAGGCCTCGTGGCCACGTCCTGTCAGCAGGTCTAATCAGAACTGACAACCACCGAGTAGCTGTCAGAGGGCAGCCTCAAACTGGTGTTTTGCTCAAGTCAAGGTGGATACGGAGGCAGTTAAGATTTGTTCAAAGAAAACGCTTGTTCTGTCAGTCGTTACCAATCAAACTGTGAAAAGGGCCTGGAGCGCCGCACAGCGCGTCCTGCAGCACAGGGCAAATTTGGGTGTCCCGCAGTGGAGGGCAGAGCGGGGCCAGCCGCTGTGCGTGAGCTCTGGCCTCATGCTCAGTTTGGCCTGTGACTGCTTCAGGAAGAGGCGTGCTCAGACGCGCTGGGTAGAGGAGCGAGGGCAGCAGGCAGGGGCCTCGGAGCACCAGACGGCAACACCCACCGGTCGCTCCCGTGGAGCTGGACAGGTCCATGTCTTTCTCTGGAAAAAATCTCGTGGGTAACAAGATGGAGCCCCAAAATGCTGAATTTCTGATGTACTGTTACAGCACCTGCCACCACCTGAGTGTCTTTGCTCTCTTGTGGCTTCAGGTGCCCAGTCCGGTTTAGCGACCAAGTAGGTGCCCTCTGTCACGCTGCTCTCTTTTACCCAGGGTGGGGTGTGCGCGCACAGAGTTCTGAGCTGAACCTGCAACGGTGATGGAAAGGCGAGGAGGGCTGCTGGGGAGGGCTGGTAATTGCCACCGACGGGGCCGATGGCTCTGCCATGCTCCTCTGAGCACAGACTCGAAAGAAAAGCCGGTGGGGGTTGTCTTTAATAGTGCCCTACCCGCGCCCACACAGCAGCCCACCATGTAGTTCCCTTTGCTCGTGCACATGGTCTCCTTCCACGCATTGGCTGGCCCTTTCGACAGGATTCCCTGCTGACATGTTGCTTTGGGGTGAGCCGCGAGTGCCCCAAGAAGCTGCTGCTGCTGCGCACGGGAGCTGCCGCGCTTCGCAGGCCCGGGCTCTGCAGGAGCGACTCGGTGGCTGCCAGGGCTTGCAGCAAAGGAGGGCAGCGCCGTGCCTTGTCCCTCAGGCCCTGGCATCATCCACTGCTCTGTGCAGCCATCGCCACTTTCATGGCATGTCTGGCAGCTTCACCCTTTTCTTGTCTCTGAAGACTAACCCCACTGTCTTTGGCTGCCGCTGTGCTCAACAGCCTTGTTTGTTCTCCTCTACTCAGGACCACAACTGCCTCGGCCTTGCTAATGGAAAATCCCCAAACCTTTTGAGGCTCTTTCTCCAAAGGAAGGAAGGAGCTTTGTGTGCGGTCAGGAGTGGCTGCGTGTTGAGGCACCGTCCACTGAGAGACGCACACGCTGCCCCCACCACCCTTATGAGTGCCTGCAGGTCCCTGCGTGTGCCTGGAGAGCATGGGGTGGAGAAGGGACAGTTTAGGCTTCTCAGAAAATTTCAGGCCTACCTTGGACCCCCCAAAAAGCAGCAGGAGGATCAGGTTTTCCAGTTTACACTTCTGTCTGTGTCCTTAGGCACAGCTTTGCTCTACAATATGCCCTTAGACTGGAAAGTTTTGCTCTGGTTTTGGAACATTAAAAATCCTGTATTTTTAGTTAAGAGGAAACAGCAGATGCTTCCTGTTAGTCACAATTTTTGACAGTTTATTACTCTTTCTTCCCTAGATCTTTTTAGATATTTTAGCTTCTTGGACTGTAAACTTAAAACTGTTCTCAGAATGCTCTGTAGTAAAAGAAACCAGTCGGGGCTAACTGAGAACCAGGCCAGGGGACAGAAATCTTTGTTTAATTCCATTCATTTAATTCCATTTCTTTCCTGCCTTACAAATAAGGAGTGTGCCCAAAAGAGTCTGTCACTCCCTTGCAGCAGGAGGGGGATTTGCTGCCAGTTACCTCGGGCCATAAACTCCTCAGTCTGACTGAACTCAGCCTTTCTGCACTGGCCTATGAAAATCTGGAACAAAGTTCACTACTGAAGGATTTTAAAATCAGTTTAACTCTTAAAACAATATTTAATTACCGAAAATAAGTGAAACATACAGCTGGAATCTCTGCTCATCTGTTGCCCATGACCTGAGGAAAGACAAAACCCTCTCTAGAGGAAGGAGAAAACATCAGGCTGGAATCTCTGCTCATCTGTTGCCCATGACCTAAGAAAGACAAAACACTCTCTAGAGGAAGGAGAAAACATCAGGAGTATAGGAGAGGTCCTCTTACTGTAGTTGTAGATCTAAATCTGTTTCTCAAACTTTTTTTTTTCAGAGGCAGTTGAAAAATGCATTGTTTGTCACTTAAATATGCTTGCCCAGTTACCATTTCCCACACTTTAAACTGGCCTTTGAACCACTAAGTAAACCCCTAAGAATGGGAGCATAAAGTCAAACGACACAAAAACGCCAAGAGAAAAAGTTGTTACCTTTATTTAAAAAATAACCAGTAATACTGACAAATTGAAAAAGCAATTTCACACTCATACAAAAGTATTCATGTGTTCTCCAAAACCACTGTCTATTGAACGTCAGCATTTAAATCATGTTTTGATTTACTAAAAATAGATGGTTTTTAGCCTAGTTATTTAAGCAACTGCAAAAATCGGTAAGACCAGCGTTGGGCATGTAATACAGTAGGACTGTTTGGCAGTCTAGAACAACATTCCCACACCTTGTCCCAGCTCCTCCTTGGTTCATCCTTGAAAAAAAAACAGGACGAGAAGCTACTTGACGCTCCGCATAGTCAGACCTCTGAGGACTCGAGCCCCCTCCTTGCCTTAGGAAGACCATTGCACTTCGGAGCTCTCCAAATAATGCTGAACAAATGTCCCGTAGCATTTTAAGGCTAAACGAGCTGAGAAGATTGACTGCTGTCTTTCAAATTATCGGTGCGGACAGAAGAGGTTTAGTTCTGATTAAAAAAGAAATCTAAATAACAAGGCTTTTTTGAAACCACACACAATAAAGGCTCAGACAATAGCAGTGCTCACTTTCACTTTTAGCTTAACTGGAACAGCCTGTGTCTGTTCACTCCACCAGCACAAATAGCAGCATCAAGATTTTCTAAAATTATTCTCATAGGGAAAGCAAATGTCTTCCAGTCCCGCTTCTCGTCACGCTCCGACTCCTGTAGTATTTGCCTTAACACAAGATCTACGTATCTATC